AAAAAGGGAAAGTAATTTCGTGAAGAGTTGATTGAATTTTAATGAAAGCAAGGGAGCAAGGGGAGTATAGTCATGACATGGAAAATTTTTTGTTTGTTGAGAGCACTAACAAAGGGGGAGAACCATTTACTTTTGATTGTCATAAGGATTTGTTTGCTAAACACTTACTTGTGACCATTATTTATCTTTAAAATACTCTATATGTTTCACAAGGTTTCGTTTTTAGTGTTTATTTTGCAAAACTTAGTTCTTCCAAATTTCATATTCATTAGAATGAGGGAGTGAGATTATACTTGAGTTTATAAGTTTAGGTTAAGATTCTTTTTTGTTGTGCTTTTTTGAGTTGTAATCTTGAAACTTTTTGCTATTCTATGTTTTTGTCATGAAATTACCAAAGTTGAGTTTGTTAGGAAAAATATTGTAATTGTCGAATTCCATGAGGTCACTATGTATCTTGTAACTGAACAAAATCCATGGTCAAGGGGCTATTCAGGATGGAAGACCAAAACAAGATATGGTAAAGAAGCTAATGAAGATTTATTCGGTTCTATCAAGCTTGGTTGAGGTAAGTTGACCTACATACCTAGTTGCCCTAGTTTAGTTTAACTTAGGCATTAAAATTGGATTTAGAATATGAGTACTTAATCCGTTCATGACTCGTGTGTTTTTTGTGTTAAAGTATTTTTGAAACTTTAGGGTTTTAAATTTTGAAAATAGTTTTTGAAATGAGTCATTGGATGGAGGCTTTCTCGGTACATCCCTCGGTACTTCGAGATTTATTTAAGCACCTTGGTTTCCGAATAAACTAGTGGATAACACTCTCCATGCTCTCTCGAGACTTAGAAAATCGAGCAAGGTGGGAAAATAAGAATCTAGCAGTGAGTGCTCTCAAGCGTTGTCCCCAGGATGGCTTCTGTTTTGGATTCCAGTTGCCAACGCTCTCTGACTGCTCCCAACAAGGCTCAAGTGTTATATCACGAACAAGTTTCTAAACTCAACCAGAATTCTTATTACCATTGATGACTTAGAGACGAGTAAAGGGAATATTAGAGGGACTCTAGGGTTTAGAGAGGCTTCTATTTCAAAAGAGAAAAAACCCTTTGAGAAGATCAAAATATGATTTCTTCAAGATCAACAAAATTCTGATGAAGAATTTGTGCTACTATTGTTGAGGATCTTGAACACCAATCAAACTCACAACACAGGATCTAAAGAGAAGACTTAAAGATCAGTGGGAGGATTCTAAGGATGGATCATGGATCTCGATTTGTTTCCTTTTAAGCTAGTTGCCAAGATGCTTGTGGTGGATTTCTAGAGTGAAGATTCAAGGAAAAAAGCTGCTAGCCAGAGAATTGGTTGAGATATAAGTATTTGAATTTGTAATCTAAATTTGAAACTAATGGATTAGGTTTTTCGAGGGGGCTTGTAAAAATTTATTAAGTTGTGTTATTGCTTTTGTTTACTTCTTTTATGCAATATTGGACGAATGGTTGAATCTCACGTGTTGATTGAGCTAGTCAAATTGATTAAAATTTAATTGATTGGTAATTTTGAATCATGTTGAACTAAGCTTCATAAAATTTACAAACACAATCAATCTTTAGATCAAAGGCCTATATCACATAGGGGTTTATTTGTAATTATGTGAGTTATGTTTCTATTTGGGCATAATTTTACATTGGAGTAACCTATTTATTACCCTCTCTAGGTCACATTGTGTTGCTTGAACACTTCAAGGTCGAATATGCTTTACGCACTCCCAAAAATTATAAGAATTACTCAAAGGACGGTAAAATGCCAATAAGATTTGTAGGCACACAATACAAGAATAGTTTGTTGTTGAAGGTCTAATCAAAAACCTCCCTGAGTCATAAAGAAATTACAAACAGTCTCTAAAGCACACGTCACTAGAAGATGTCATTGTCCACATCATCATAGAAGGAAAAAGAGTCAATTCAAGGTAGCCAATAAGTCATAGCCATGGAAGTATCTTCCCAAGCTTATTTAGTTAGGACAGCTACGGTACATCTAAGGGGATTTTCGGTATGGTACCGAAAATCTTTGGCGGCAAAAAACTAAAAAAAATATTGCACAATGATGCAGAAATGGACACGTGTAAAGGAAAAGTAAGGCAACTAGAATGACCTTTTGCCACTTATATTGTACAATAATGATGGATGAAGGATGTACCACATCAATGAGTGAGTTACAAAGGTTATGGAATATTTACAATATTACTTGCAAGATTTACAACAATAATGGGTACAATAACAAATATAATGGTATTCTTGCAAAGTTAGTGGAACCAAGTACAAGGATAATGGTGTATTTACAATATCAGTAAGAAATGTAAAAAAGTAATGGGATAGGTACAAAATTAAAGGTATATTTACAACAAACGTGGAAAAATTTATGACTCATAGTCAATGTAATGGATGATCAAGTCGTGTAGTATATGATCAATCATAAAATATTGACTGATCGAATAAATGTATGATCGATTATTATGTGGAAAGGTGTGGTGTAAGAAAATGGAATTTTGGAAAAAAAATAAATAAAATATAATTTGACCGATCACGAATATGATGATCGATCATAGTGTCCCAATAAGGTGTTTTTGCAAAATCATTGCGATGTTAACGATATTACTAGATAAAAGTACACAATTTATGGTATAATTACAACAAGAGTGATAAATTTTGAAATTCAGTGAAACCAACTACAAATTTAATGGAGTATTTACTACATCAGTAAAAAATATACAATAGTTATTGCGATAGGTATAAATGTAAAAATATATTTACAAGCATTGTGGATAAATTTACGAGGATATTATAGTTGTAGTCAACATAATGGATCAATCAATGTAATATATGACCGATCATTATATATTGATTGATCGAATAAACATATGATCGATCAATATGTGGTAAGAAGTTGTGTAAGAAAAAGGAATTTTTGGAAAAAAAAAATAAAAAAATATATAATTTGACCGATCATGAATATGAATGATCGATCTTATTTGGCTCAATAAGTGTTTTTGCAAAATCGTTGCGAGGTTAACGATATTAATGGGAAAATTACAAAATTAATGGTATAATTAAAACAAGAGTGAGAAATTTTGAAAATCAGTGGAACAAACTACAAAGGCAATGAATTATTTACTTTATTAGTAAGAAATGTACAACAGTAATTGGGATAGGTACAAAATTAAAGATATATTTACAACCATAGTGGATAAATTTACGAGGATAATATACTTGTTTTCAACGTAATGAATTGATCAATGTAATATATAGTTGATTATTACATATTGATCGATCGAATAAATATATGATTAATCAATATGTGGTAAGGTTAGTGAAAAAAGGAAAAAGAAAAGTATTGAATTCGATTGATCAAACGAATATGATGATCGATCATATTGGGACAGGTCTGTAGTTTGAATCAGAGTAATAAAAGTATTATGTGGGTCTGATCGGTTGTGAAAAAATATGATAGATCAGTAAGTAATAAATGTATTTGATCGATCAAAAAATACATATTGATCGATGATATTGCTGCAGAATTGAGAAGTGAATCAGAAGTAATAAAAGTACTAGAGAGAAAGGATCGATCGTTAAAAAATTTGATCGATTAAATTAGTAGGTAAATTTGATCGATCAAACATATATATTGATCGATCAAATTATTGCAGATTTATGTGAATCAGAAATAAAAGTACTAGGGAGATTTGATCGATTGAAACCATATTTGATCAATCAAATTATTGTAGATTTTTAATGTGAATCAGAAATAAAAGTATTGGGGAGATTTGATCGATCGAAACCATATTTGATCGATCAAATTGTTACAGATTTTAAATGTGAATCAGAAGTAAAAAAATACTGGAGAGATTTGATCGATCATGTAAACAATTTGATAGATCAGTAAGTAGTAATTTAATTCGATGGATCAAAATTTTATAGTGATCAATCATATTGTTGCAAATTATAAATACTAGGGACATCTGATCGATCAACTATGTATAATGATCGATCATGGAGTTACAGATGTACAAATTGAAGGAGCAAATGGGATTGCGATCGATCAAAAATAAATATGATATATCAGATATGATGTATTTACTTAAATGCCCACAAATAGTAATAAATTGAAGTGTTGTAAGGGGGCTTTATAGTAAATAAACATCGAATGATACACAAATAAATCCCCAAATCCTACAAAATTACCCCTAAATCACTCACACCTACAAAACTCATTCAAAATCCATTCCAAATTCGACAAAACCCATTCCAAATCCAAAAAAAACCCATTCAAAAATCATTCAAACTCCATTCCAAATCCTACAAAACCCATTCAAAATCTCCCAATTCCATAAACCCTAAATCTCCCACCACCCCAAATCTCTTTCATCAATCGATTGGGTACACAAATGCAATCGCCTACACAAAGTACTTCCATTGTGAATCTTCATTCGGAGAAGAGTGAAATTTTCATTGTGAATGTTCGTTGTGAATCTTTGTTGAAGAAGAGTGAAATTTCCATTTGGAGCTTTAGTGATGTCAGGCAGAGAGATGAAGAAACGGAAGAAGGTGGTTAGCGCGGGGAGTTCTGGCATTACAAAACTCTTTGTGGATAAAGATGCTAAGAAAACGTATGATACATTCATTGTTAAACGTCCTCTGTTAATTGAGCATGGTGTTTACCTTGATGAGTTAGTAGGCAGTGTGGATAGCCCTGAAATACTTTGACGTCGGAAATGGGATCCTCTGTTTGATGTGACTGTGGAAGATAAAGCATATGTTGATCTGGTTAAGTTTTTTTATGCAAATGTTCATTACTACAAGGAGAATAAGCTGACATTTAATTCATTGGTTAGAAAGACTCGAATAACTGTTTCGCTTGATCTTATTCCAAATATATTATAAATTGATAGACCAGAAATTCCTAAGAATTCCATTGTCTTTCCATATTCAAGTAAGGAGCAGGTTCCCGAAATGGCGAGAGTTATTCGAGGTATTTGTATTAGGAGTGTCCTTTGGGAGAATGATAAAAGCAAAATTGCTCACATTGACTTTACTCCAACGTATAGGCTGTTAAACCGAATTGTTACCTGTAACATACATCAGAGGAGGCATACTGCTGAGATTGGATACGAAACAGCCCAACTATTATATGATATTGGTGAACGTGGGGTTATTATTGACCTACCCCTTTACATATTCAACCATGTTTGCGAAGCATCCACTGTCGAGGATTACAGGCCATATCTTCCATTTCCAATACTAATTTCCAAGATTTTGAAGCATAGTGGGGTTGAATTTCAGCATAATGATAGTTTTTTTGTGCTCCATGAATGCAATGGGTATGGGTATACTTAATAAAAATGTGGCAGCTATTTTGGGTGTAAAACGGGTCAAGCGTGTGAAGCAGCCATCAACGGTGCCTCAGGTTGTGGGTAGTCAAGCTGGGGCTAGTCAAGGTGGTTCTAATGTTGGTACTAGTGAGGGTGGACAAACACTTCAGCAAATGGTTGAAAAGTTGGTGGCCTGATTTGAAAAGTTCAAGGATGAAACGAATGGTTCGTTGCAGCGTCTGGAGTCAAAATTAGATTGTTTTTATAAGGACTTTAAAGAATACATCAACAAATGACACATTGGTTTTGTATTTTTTGGGTGAATCTTTTGTTGTATATAGCAATATTTGGCATTTTTGCAAGGGTGTTGCAGATGTTGGGTGGATGGTTGTTAAATATATTGGGTAGTAGTTAGAAACAAATTGATGTTTGATGGTTTTTGAGTTTTGTTGCGGTGAATGTGAGGTTTGTGCGTTCTTTCATGTTTATTTGATTTAACAATAAAGTAATACAAAGGATGCAGATAAATTGTACATCTGCACATTAGGTGGAATTAATTGTAACAACATAATTACATGTTTAGATATGTTTCCTTCATTTTGTCATTGTCATGTATACAAGAAAGATAGCGTAGTGAAGTTGAACCTTCCATGCAACTTAAGAAAGCTACATTGTGTGGTCAACTGTCGTAAAGCAAAAAGGTGATTATTCCATAATATTTCAATGGTCAAATGTGTACACGTTAACACTGTAAGAAGTATTCAGTGCAGTATGCTAGTGAAATCGTGAAAGAGTTTGTACCAAATAACTGAAAGCAATGACAAAGCACATGTAGTCGTACTGACCTCTAAAATATTTAAAGAAGTATTAATCTATTGCCCGTGCACAATTCAATCAAAAGCAAGGATCACCTGTTGTTAAAAAAAATAAAAAATGGATATCAAAACCATGTTGGTATGTACTGAATTTCCCAAAGTAATTACAAGGTGATAATGTATGAAACCTGATATCAGAGGACATTGTAATTGAAAGTAGGATTCCAATGGTCGTCTTCTTGAGTTGATGGCATGGGATGTTGGGAGCCACCAGGTTGTGAGAAGGGCATGTCATCATGTGGGTCGTCCGCATGGCACGTAAGCTGCGGACACTTACGAATAGTATGTCCAGTGCCACGACATTTACTACATCATCGCGGAGCTATTGGTAAGTTCTTCCATACACGACCCAGATTGCCTTTAGTTGTCACTGTCTTGGGATCGACGACACCAAATTTTATGTTCAACACAGTGTCATTATCTTTGTCATATGATGCTGACACCTGTCTTGCCTCGCGTGTATCATGATGTTGTTTCATGCAGTTGGTTACTGCCGTTATTGTTGTTCGAAGCTCCTGTGCATCCTCAGGCATTTGTGTTGCATTGTAACACATCCGACTATACATTGACATTAATCCAACATATCGACAAGAAATTGAAATGGTTCTTGACGTTTGAGGCACGGAGGTCGGTGGGCAACCTTATTTTGCAGTAATTGTCCATCGCTTTGGAATAGTAGTAGGAGGGAACTCTGTTATGTGTTCAGTTTTCAAAAGAATTTGTAAGTGTCTGCAGCTTACGAATGGGAATTCAGTTTTCAAATGTCATGGCACTTGACATACAATTCATAAGTGTCTGCAGCTCACGTGTCATGCAGAGGACCCACATGATGACATGCCTTTCTCACAATCTGGTGGCTCCCAACATCCCATGCCATCAACTCAAGAAGACGACCATTGGAATCCTAGTTACAATTACAATGTCCTATGATATCAGGTTTCATACATTATAACATTTTAATTACTTTGGAAAATTCAATACATACCAACATGGTTTTGATATCCATTTTTTATTTTTATTTTTAATAACAAGTGATCCCTGCTTTTGATTCAATTGTACACGGGCAATAGATTAATGCTTCTTTAAACATTTTGGAGGTAAGTACAACTACATGTGCTTTGTCATTGCCTTCAGTTATTTGGTACAAACTATTCAACGATTTCATTAGCATAATGCACTAAATACTTCTTACAGTGTTAACGTGTACACATCTGGCCACTAAAATATTCTGGGATAATCACTCTTTTGCTTTACGACAACTAACCACACAATGCAGCTTTCTTAAGTTGCATGGAAGGTTCAACTTCACTACGTTGTCTTTCTTGTATACATGACAATGGCAAAATGAAAGAAGCATGTCTAAACATGTAATTATGTTGTTACAATTAATCCCACCTAATGTGCAAATGTACAATTTATCTGTATCCTTTGCATTATTTCATTGTTAAATCAAATAAACATGAAAGAATGCACAAACCTCACATTCACCACAACAAAACTCAAAAACCATCAAACATCAATTTATTTCTAACTACTACCCAATATATTTAACAACCATCCACCCAACATCTGCAACACCCTTACAAAAATGACAAATATTACTACACAACAAAAGATTCACCCAAAAAATACAAAACCAATGTGTCATTTGTTGATGTATTCTTTAAAGTCCTTATAAAAACAATCTAATTTTGACTCCAGACGCTGCAACGACCCCTTCGTTTCATCCTCGAACTTTTCAAATCGAGCCTCCAACTTTTAACCATTTGCTGAAGTGTTTATCTTCCCTCACTAGTACCAACATCAGAACCAGCTTGACTACCCACAACCTGAGGCACCGCTGATGGCTGCTCCACACGCTTGGCCCGTTTCACATCCAAGATAGCGCCTACACTTTTATTAAGTGTACCCATACCCATTGCATTCATGGAGCACATAAAACTATCATTATGCTGAAATTCAACCCCACTATGCTTCAAAATCTTGAAAATTAATATTGAAAATGGAAGACATGGCATGCAATCTTCGACAGTAGATGCTTCGCGAACATGGTTGAATATGTAAAGGGGTAGATCAATAATAACCCCACGTTCACCAATACCATATAATAGTTGGGCCGTTTCGTATCCAATCTCGGCATTATACCCCCTCTAATGTATATTACTGGCAACAATTTGATTTAACATCCTACAAGTTGGAGTAAGGTCAATGTGAGCAATTTTGCTTTTATCATTCTCCCAAGGGACACTCCCAATACAAATACCTCGAATAACCCTCACAATTTCGAGAACCTACTCCTTACTTGAATATGGAAAGACAATGGAATTCTCAGGAATTTTTGGTCTATCAATTTTTAATATATTTGAAATAAAATTAGGCGAAACAGTTATTCGAGTCTTCCTAACCATTGAATTAAATGTCAGTTCATTCTCCTTGTAGTCATGAACATTTGCATAAAAAAACTTAACCAGATCAACATATGTTTTATCTTCCACAGTCACATCAAACAGAGGATCCCATTTCCGACGTCAAAGTATTTCAGGGCTATCCACATTGCCTACTAACTCATCAAGGTAAACACCACACTCAATTAACAGAGGACGTTTAACAATGAATGTATCATACCTCTTCTTAGCATCTTTATCCACAAAGAGTTTTGCATTGCCAGAACTCCCCCGCTAACCACCTTCTTCCGTTTCTTCATCTCTCTGCCCGACATCACCAAAGCTCCAAATGGAAATTTCACTCCTCTTCAACAAAGATTCACAACGAACATTCACGATGGAAATTTCACTCTTCTCCGAATGAAGATTCACAATGGAAGTACTTTGTGTAGGCGATTGCATTAGTGTAGATTTTGAATGGGTTTTGTAGGATTTGGAATGGAGTTTCAATGGATTTTAAATGGGTTTTGTTGGATTTGGAATGAATTTTGAATGGGTTTTGTAGGAGCGAGCAATTTAGGGGTAATTTTGTAGGATTTGTGGAATTATTTGGATATCATCCGATGTTTACTTACTACAAAGCCCCTCTTACAACACTTCAATTTATTACTCTTTATGGGCATTTAAGTAAATACATCATATCTGATCTATCATATTTATTTTCGATCGATCGCAATCTCATTTGCCCCTTCAACTTCTACATCTGTAACTCCATGATCGATCATTACACATAATTGATCGATCAGATGTCCCCAGTATTTATGATCTGCAATAATATGATTGATCACTATAAAATTTTGATCAATCAAATTAACTTACTACTTACTGATCTATCAAATTGTTTACACAATCGATCAAATCTCCCCAGTATTTTTTTTACTTCTGATTCACATTAAAAATTTGCAACAATTTGATTGATCAAATATGGTTTTGATCGATCAAATATGATTTCGATCGATCAAATCTCCCCAGTACTTTTACTTCTGATTCACAATACAAATCTGCAATAAGATGATCGATCAATATATATGTTTGATCAATCGAATTTACTTACTTATTCGATCGATCAAATTTTTTAACGATTAATCCTCTCTTTCCAATACTTTTATTACTTCTGATTCACTTCTCAATTCTACAACAATATATCGATCAATAGGTATTTTTTGATTGATCAAATACACTTATTACTTACTGATCTATCATATTTTTTCACGATCGATCAGACCCACACAGTACTTTTATTACTTCTGCTTCAAACTACAGACCTGTCTCAATATGATCGATTATCATATTTGCTTGATCAATCAAATTCAATACTTTTATTTTTCCTTTTTTCACTAACCTTACCACATACTGATCGATCATATATTACACTGATCGATCCATTACGTTGACTACAAGTATATTATCCTCGTAAATTTATCCTCCATGGTTGTAAATATATCTTTAATTTTTACCTATCCCTATTACTTTTGTACATTTCTTACTGATATAGTATATATTTCATTGCCTTTGTAGTTTGTTCTACTAATTTTCAAAATTTCTCACTCTTGTTTTAATTATACCATTCATTTTGTAATTTTTCCATTAATATCGTTAACCTCGCAATGATTTTGTAAAAACACCTTATTGAGTCAAATAAGATCGATCATTTATATTCGTGATCAGTCAAATTATATATATATATATATATATTTTTCCCAAAAATTCCTTTTCCTTACACAACTCCTTACCACATATTGATCGATCATATGTTTATTCTATTGATCAATATATAATGATCGGTCATATATTACATTGATCAATTCATTACGTTGACTACAACTATAATATCCTTTTAAATTTATCCATAATACTTGTAAATATATATTTACATTTGTACCTATCTCAATAACTATTGCATATTTCTTACTGATGTAGTAAATACTCCATTAAATTTGTAGTTGGTTTCACTGAATTTCAAAATTTATCACTCTTGTTGTAATTATACCATTAATTTTTGTACTTTTACCTAGTAATATTGTTAACATCGCAATGATTTTGCAAAAACACCTTATTGAGGCACTATGATCGATCATCATATTCGTGATTTGTCAAATTATATACTTATTTTTTTTTTTCCAAAATTTCATTTTCTTACACAACATTTTTTCACATAATGATCGATCATACGTTTATTTGATCGATCAATATTTTATGATCGATCATATACTACATTACTCAATCATCCATTACATTGACTATGAGTTGTAAATTTTTTCACTTTTTTTGTAAATATACCTTTAATTTTGTACCTATTCCATTACTTTTTTGCATTTCTTACTGATGTCGTAAATATACCATTACCCTTATACTTGGTTCCACTAACTTTATAAGAATACCATTATCTTTGTTATTGTACCTATTATTGTTGTAAATCTTGCAAATAATATTATAAATATTTCATAACCTTTGTAACTCACTCATTGATGTGATACATCTTTCATCCATCATTGTTGTACAGTATAAGTGGCAACAAGTCATTCCGATTGTCTTACTTTTCTTTTACACGTGTCCATTTTTGCATCATTGTACAATTTTTTTTCAGCTTTTAGCCGCCAAAGATTTTTGGTACCATACCGCCCCTTAGATGTACCGTAGTCATGTCCCTATCTTTATATTCATTTTTTCTTCACATTTCACTCACAATTGTCATCCTGTTTGGCCCCAAAGGCTATGACATCATATGGGTGATGTATGCTACGAACACCTTGTCCATTATGCTTTTTTTTCTTTTGTTTTTTTCCCTTCCTTATATATATTAGAAGACACTTGTCACCTTGTGTATTTATATGTACCGTACACATATTTTTACACACATTACACTGTTTAGAAACTTTAGCTATTTATTAAACCTAACAATATTATAGTCATTTAACTCATTTTTACCCAAAGAACCCATATTTTTGGTCCATTTCTTTATTTGATATTTCTAAAAAAACTTCGATCATATAGAGTCATAGTTATTGTTCTAATTAACATTATTAGGAATTAATTTTTGTTTGGATTATCATAATCTACTCGCCTTAAAAAGAATTTCGTCCCTGAAATTCATAATATTTAAATTAATTGATTTTGTTGTACACTCTGATACCATTTTTAATTATTTTGTTCATAACCCATCATTCTGATATAAATTTCAACTTATACACCCATCCAATGGAATCTAGTTAACTCACTCCCCACAATACCCATATAAGATCTAAAACTTATACTCTAATATTTCAGACTTATATACCTACAACGAAAACTAATAGATTCACTTTTCATAGAACCTCATATAAGATCTGATACCATTTTGTAACGGGTATTAGAGCATCAATTGGCTAAGGGTGGGGGTGGAGATATTCTCACCCCACAAATCTCCATTTCCACCCCTATTAAACTATAAATCATAAAACTACCAAGTTCGCCTCATCTATACTCATTCCACTAGTAACTAAGGTGGTATTTAATAAAACTAAAAGCTGAACACTAAAAACTGAATGCTAAATTTTAAGTATTGAATGTTGAATTTTTTAATTTGCAGACTGTTTGGTATCAATTGAAATTTAAATATTAAATTTATTCAAACTGTTTGACAAATATAAAGAGATAAAGTCTAAAAATTATTATTATCCTAATTTTTTTCTTTTCTTTAACCATCTCTCTGTAACTGCTTTATTCATATCACCATCATGACAAAGGAGGTGGTAGTGGTGGCGGCGACAGTGGTGGTGGTGGTGCCAACAACACAATGGTGGTAGTGGTGATGGTGACATAATGATGGTGGTGGCAACAATGGTAGAGGTGGTAGAAGTAGTGGCACAATGGTAATGGTGATGACAACGGTGGTGGTGGTTGCAACGCTATGGTGGTGGCAATGGTGGTGGTGGTGGTGGTGGTAATGACAGTGGTAATAGTGGTGGTGGCGGTGGCACAATGGTGGTGGTAGTGATGACATAATGGTAGTGGTGGTGGCAGCGACACAATGATGGTAACGGTGGTGGTGATGGTGGTAAAAGTGGTGGCGATAATAGTGGTTGTAGTGACAGTGACACAATGGTAGTGGTGGCGGTGATGGCGGCAATAGTGGTATAATAGTGGTGGTAGTGATAGTGTTGGTAGTGGTGGCGATGACACAATGCTAGTAAGGGTATATTTGTCCATTATGAGAAATTGATAAAATCCTTACTAACTAACATTTTCTGCATTAAGTGATAAGTATGTGGCTTGCTACTTAAAATTTTTAACCTATTTTTAAGAAATGCTTAAAATATTAAGTAGTATGAGTTTTAGGTTGTCAAACGATTTTAATTTGTTAAGTGATTAAAGTATTCAGTTTTAAACCTTAAGTAGTGTTATCAAACAGCCCCTAAGTCCATCTCATTCTGTACCCATACCCCATTAACAACTATACTTATCTCAATCTTTACTTTTAGGATTTCTTTCTATACCTTATCTCACATAGTCTATACAAAATAAACTCAACTGGATTATTTACTAAAACTAAACAAACAGTTATGTATAGATAGTGTTTGAGGAGAAAGACTTAATGATCTTTTTCTTTTTCGTTTCAAGAAACTTAGCTTCAGATGCGACATATAACGAAAATTTCAAGAGATTTCTTTCTATATATTGAGAAATTGCGTGTAAAGATGATCTTTTTTTCTGTGAATACCTTCAACTGACGATTAAGAAAACAAGATAGACAAGCGTAGAGAGGAATCAGAGTACAATTTCTGATGATGCACAAAATAGTCTCGCGCAAGATCAACAGTCAAGTGTGTGATAAGGTGTAATTAATGGCAATAAATAAAGCAATCAATGGCAGTAATATAAACATTGAGTCAACACATAGATATATAGTGGTTCAATCTGAGTGACCTACTCCACTCTAAGAAATGGCAACGATGGTTGGAGGGTCTTTATTGATGAAGTAGGATGAACATCGGAGAGAACAATAGTTAGCTCTGAGAGAGATACAATAGCTAGGAGAGAGAGAAACTATGTGTGTGTAGAGAGGTATAGAGAGGTGTGATGAGATGCCCCTCTCAATGGAGAGGGCTTACAATTTATAGGCACGGTGAGGCGGTGACCTAAGTGTGAGGGGTACTAATTCTTCGGGGAGGATAGTTACAAAAGGTAAATACAATTAAAGAGTATCTTGATCTTCGAATGAGTATCCTGATAGTTGCTCCCCACATGCTCTAATGTTCTTGAACTCCTTGGACCTTGGGCTGGGTCAAATTTACAAATTGGGCTTGATCGGTCTTTTAGTTGATTTGGGCTTACTTGATTTATTGGGCCCTGACCAATTAGATTTGGGCTCATCATTTGCCCCCCATGCCCCAAGCCCCTACTGTAGCAAAAAAGGGGGTTGAAGGCATGAGTGATTCTCAAGATAGATAAGGGTTCCTTGCTCCCCATGATAATCTTTAACTTTCCATTGCTGCCTACGAAAAATCTCTCCTTTCTTCTTTGTATCACCATTGCTGGGTACCCAATATAATTACCAATATCCTTTTTCCCTCTTCTGGACAGAGAATCATCCTTCTAAGTCTTCTAAAGGTAAATATAGCTAAATCCAGCAACTATTCTCTTTTATTACCTCTTGATTGGGCATAAATACTCCCCATTTCCCTCACCCTTATTGGTTACAAGGTAGGGTAAACTATGGACACCAGAGGCAAATAGGATCGAGTACACAGCTGACCTAGTTGGCATTAGGCGATGCCAGCGCCTAGGAGAAAGAGAGAAGCAATGGGCGGGAGTCCTATGGTGCCTTGGCGGTTGGCGGCACCTTCTATGCAAAGCTCTACGCAGAAAGTGAAGAAGGCAAAGGCGACACCTTCTTTGTAAATAGAGGGGATCTAGGCGATGTTGGTGCGACCCAAGCAGGCGATGTCTTGCATAATCATCTATACCAGGGCTCTACAGTAATGGATGGTAGTGCTAGCTTAAATAGAGAAAGAACCCCAAGGTAAACGCAGTGTTGGGCAATGCCCTGGGCAGAGGCGATTCCAAGAGTCGGAACCTAATGGGCAGCGCCAGAAGCAAAGGTGGAGAGGGCCCAGGTGGGAAGTTGGGCGTAGTAGGCGTGGCAGGCTGGGGCACTGGCACTGGCACTGAGGCTAGGATGTAGGCGATGCCCTTGGTAAAGGGATTAAGCAACACCTTTGGAGTGAACTGGGCGATGCCTTGGAGCTTTGGTCTAGGCGAGGACACCAAGGAGGCCTAGGCATAGTTGGAGAAGGGAGCGCGTTGGGGTGTCGACCGGAGTATCAGAAAACCAAGAAAAATGGCAAAACTTTGAATGGCCAAAACTTTACGCTCGGTTGTCCATTTGAGATGAAGTTTTTTTTTTGAAGTCAAGTATTTTTTCGAGATCTACGACATACAAACAACCAAAGGTAATTTGGTCACCAAATTTCTCAAAAAAAATGCTTATTTCTCTCTCAATTTAAGTTTTAAGCACAAATTAATGAAATTGACAGTGATGGAAAACTGTGTTCTGGCAAGCAGCTATCAGGCATTCATGGGCGACGGGTTTGTGTTCTGGGTTTTTACCAGAGAGGGAGACTATGATGGCTTTGGCTATGCTGGTTCTTGAACTTGTCTCTGATTACAGGCGCTCCCATTGATAGAGCGATGATGGAGGTGGAGGTTCACTATGCTTCTAGGGCAACGTCTTCCCCTCTTCTCAAGACGGCAAGGTTTGATGCCCCCAGTACTTTTCGGCCAAGCTCCGATGGCCAAGTTTCTTTCCGAGAGCTAGCCCTTGTACCGTTGTAAGAATTGAGACTCTAGTGCGGTCTTCTACGGAAACTATAGCTCCACATAGCTGCCCTACTTCTAGTAGTGGCTCGGTGTCCATACTTTGATGTGACTTCGGTCAAGGAATGGCTTTGGAGGTTTGTGACTCCCGAGGATATCAGAGAGGTTGGATTTCAAGGTCTAGAGGGCATTATCAATACTACGATGGAAGGGTTCTCCTTTTACATGTTCTACTTTTTGGATTATTGTAGGTGACTGTTGTTTTCCCCTGCCTATTTTCAAGAATGATCAAACTTGGAGAGGCATACAGGGATCTAGCAAAAGAGAGGTAGGCTTCGAGAGACTGCTGAGGAGCAATTGAGGCTTGCTCATGAGAGAGTCGTGCCTCCTGAGAGCGAGCTTTTTGGCATCCCATGAGAGGGCCGAGAAGTTGAAGGCTGATAAAGATATTATCTGCGTGAGAGTAGAATCAGGGCTGCGAACATCCCATGAGAAGGCCGTAGGAGCCGAGGCCGAGCTACGTATAACTCAAGAGAGGACTACCATGGCAGAGGCTTATAAGGAGACTACCTGCACGAGAGAGGACTACGTATAGCTCCTAAGGCTTTCATTCCGGTCCTACTTGATGGTGAGCAAATAGGTAACAGGTTTCTGGTGTCAGCATCCCCCAATGAAGTGGGAGACGAAAGACTTGCTTAACTCCGCAAAAGAGTGGATGGAAAAAGGCTTGAGCTTGGTGAACCACTTGTGTGCAGATCCCTTGAGGGTGGTAAGGAAGGCTCTACACATAATCTCATCAAGCACGTTATGGAGTTGCATGATAGATTTGTATGTATCAAGATGGTCGAGGGGATCTTTGGTACCATCAAAGATCTCAATGGAGGGCATCATGAACTTTGAGGGTAAAGGGTAGTTGATAACATCCATCACAAACGGGGTGTTAGTGCATCTTACCAAGTAATCCACCATCTTCGACGCTTGTGCTTTGATGGCATTGAGGGCATCGTCAAGCTAGTCCTGCACCTCCTTGATCTTCTCGCCTCATTGGTTGGGAACATGCTCTGTTGGATCATTGTAGTAGCTCTCGTGATTTGTATACTGGTTCTCCTCTTCATCCCCCTGCCCTGGATGGTCAGCTGTGTGTGGTGTAGGTACATGAGGAGGAGGAGCATGTGTGGCACCTGCGCATAGTAGAGGGACACCTAAGCGAGGGGCGCCATGGCACTAGGCCCCTCGAACGGCGCCCTAGAGCCCAGAGTGGTGAGGTTGTGGCACTTCTCTAATCAGGGGGAGTACCGCTCCCGCAGGTTCAGGGGCAACGCCTCCCAAGGTGAGCATCAGTTGAATGATTTGTTGGTTTTGGCTTGCCAACAACTGCATGGTCTCCAAGAGTTGTTGCCCGACTGCGGGGGTTATCGTAGTAGATGGTTCCGCTGGTATAGGCGGAGGCGAAGCCTCTTCCCGGCAGGCTGGGTTATTGTCTCTTGGTTGTTGATTAATTGACCTGGTCGTGATTGCCATAGATTTCAAGAGAGTAGCAAGGTAGTAGAAAACTTAGTTGTTTCCCACAAAAGGCGTCAAACTGGTAATGCACAAAATAGTCTTGTGCAAAATCAACAGTCGAGTGTGTGATAAGGTGTAATTAATGAACAATAAATAAAACAATCAATGGCAGTAATGTAAATATTAAGTCAACACACAGATATATAGTGGTTCAGTTCGGGTGACTTACTCCACTCTGGAAAACGGCAATGGTGGCCAAGAGGTCTTTATTGATGAAGTAGGGTGAACGGGAAAGAGAGCAATGGTTAGCTCTGGAAGAGATACAATAGCTAGGAGAGAGAGAGAGATGCTATATGTGTATAGAGAAATATGGTGAGATGTCCCTCTCAATGGAGAAAGCTTACAATTTATAGGCATGGTGAGGCGGTGACGTGAGTGTGAGGGTACTAATTCTTCGGAGAGGATAGTTACAAAAGATAAGTACAATTAAAGATTGTCTTGATCTTCGAGAGTGAGTATCTCAATAGTTGCTCCTCACGTGCTCTAATCTTCTTTCACTCCTTGGACCTTGGGCTAGGTTGAATTTACAAACTAGACTTGACCGACCTTTTAGCTGATTTAGGCTTACTTGATTTATTGGGCCCGAGCCAGTTAGATTTGGGCTCGTCAATTTCGACGATGAGATCGTAGAGGATAAAGATCGGACGACGACAATTTAAGTAATTTGCATGAAAGAAACCTAGAATAGAATCTAGTTGAGTATATTTTGTGTATAAATTTAATGAGATAGGTATAGAAAGAAACCCTAAAGACGAAAATTGAGATAAGTTTTGTTATTAATAGGGTAGGTATTGAATGGGGTGAGCTTAGTTACTTGTGAAGTGAGTATAGAAGGGGTAAATTTATTAGTTTTATTATTTATAGTTTGATGGGGGTGGGAATGGAGATTTGTGGGGAGTGAATAGCCCCTCCCGCTGGCTAATCCACTTCAAACTTTCGCACTTGTAACCAAAACTAATGGACTCATTTCCAATGAGATCTATATAAGTTCTAATACTGAAGCTCTGACACCACTTTGTAACGTCTCAATTTTTCAGATGCGTTATTTAATTAATAAATTAATCGACGCAATTCCATAAAATATCTCTAATGTGTCTCCAAATATTCGGGTCAGAGCTCTAATTACCTCAAAATTAAATAAAAATAGTATCCAAAATCTAAAAATGAATGCCCTCAAATTATATATTACAACATCAAACTAAAAGTTACAAATCTACAATTTTTTGATATTTCAACTCTAGTCCTTTTCTCCGATATTATCTTGAAAAATATTAAAAGCGAGAAAGTATATAATGTGACAGAAAATAATACGCTCAACGATAAACAAATACAAATGATCAAATATCAAAGAATCCAATCGATAGGCAATCATGAACAAAATAATCAAGAATCAACATGTCATATAGCTTAACTGCTACCAAAGATAACTTCATATTTGGTTCATATTACTAACATGACAAATGACACTTAGACATATAAATCCATAATCATATCGAACAATTACATCCCGCAAGACCATAATCAAAACGAGCAATCATACCTCATAGGGCCACAATCATATTTTACAACTATGCCCCAACCACACTTCATATGTACACCAATCAACAAAACGCATAGAATTTCATATCAATCAAAAATAGCGAATAAGAATACAAACTTTGAGATAAACAATATGACGCATAGGCTAGATCAACAAAACGCATAGGATTTCATATCAATCAAAAATAACGAATAAGAATACGAACTTTGAGATAAACAATATGACACTCTTTTTGCAGAGATTTAAAGACATGATCATATTGTAATACTAAACCATACCTCAAAATCATCAATGGCTTCGATAAATATAAAATTCGAAGTACCATGAACAAGATACTCGAATTTGATAGTGATATGAAGTAAAATCACTTTTCAATTTTTGACCCCAAGATCTTATGAGTTTTTTTTTCTATTTTTTTCCTCTTTCTCTTCCCTCCTTTATCTTTTTCTTCCTTTTTTCCTCACATTTTACTCACAATGACCATCTCAGCTATTTGTCTTACTTGGCGTCCACGGCTATGACTTCATATGGATGATGCATGCAATGGACACTTGTCCATTATGCTTTATTTTTTTTCCGTTCCTTACCTTGCTGCCACTAATATATACATATATATTAGAAGACACTTGTCACTTCATGTATCTATATGTATTTTTACACATATTACACCGTTCGGACACTAATAATGCAAGAATTCGGTTTGATTTCTTGTATCAATAATGCAATACGAATAAATGTGAAATATGTACATAAACAAAAAATATTAAAAAGAGTTATAAATCAATAGAAAGAGAATCTGAATAATTGAGTTTAATTCATATTAATGTAGGTGACTTAAAACAAATAATGACAAAAAGTGACAAAAGATATTATGTGACTTTTCTAGATGATAAATCAAAATATATTAGAGAAACAAAGACGAAACTTATTATGACATGTTCATAAAATATAAAAATAAAGTGAAAATCAATTAAATAAGAAATTTAAAAGACTTAGGCCTGATAGAGTAGGTGAATATAACCCACTTGATGAATTCGTGAAAAGGGATGAATAATCCATGAGACAACACTGCCTTACTTACCTGAGTCAAATGGAGTGGCAGAAAAGAAAAATACAACACCGAAAGAAATGATGAATTTCATGCTAATAAGTTTAGGAGCACCTAACTACTTTTGGGGTATAGCTATATTATCTGATTGTTATACCCAAAATAGAATACTTATAAGAAAATTGGAAAAGGCCGTACAAGTTTTCGAAATGTTACA